GAAGATAGACAATTGCCACATAATAAGCAAGGAAGTCTGAATTTTTAATGTAGGGAGTTTGCCTTCACTAGACCCAAACTTCTCCTCGCTTTCAATCGAGCTACTCTTATACATTCCCTCCTCGTCTCTCAATTTTTTGGAATTCTACTTGGTGATCAAGAAAGATCTCTTGTTCTTATTATAAGATCATGATTGGATCTATAGATGTTTGATAATGAGAACAACTTCTCTGGAGAATAATTAAAAATGGAAAGTCTTCAATTGGAAGATGAAAAGGTGACTAGATTGGTCCAAGTTACTCATCGGGATGGAATGGTGTATGCTTATTGAAAAGTTCAAAAAATCACTTAAAAATATATTTGGTATACAATCAAGTGTCAAGTGTGTTTGTTAACTGTTGATTCTTCGTCAAAAGAACTAAACTTGAAAAAGATTTTTGACCATAAGGGGAAAATCCTTAATTAATATAATGTCTTAATTAATAGTATATTAGTCTAGTATAAAACGCAACCTATACAAAGATTTCTTCTTGTCTCTATTTGATCATAGCCACTGCTTGTAAACAGCTCTCTTCAAATGAAGGCGCATCTATTGTTACTAGAATTCTAGTCTCTATACAGTTCAATTTCAATGTCGAACTAACTTACAACATGGCTACAAGATAGATAATCAGAAAACCTAATTTCCTATCTTAAGAACCCAACTCAAAAGTGAAAAGAAAATCAAACTAAAAGAGATATTACTTTCGACATTGAACTTGACTTTTACATCCAAATTAGAACTGGACTTGAACGTCTTTCAATTCTTCTTAGGGTCGGTTTCACTCTACTTTCACTTTCAAATCAGGAACATCGAATGGCACTTGTAATATCGAATTTTTATCTTTTCAAAAACGTCCATATTCAGAGTTTGACTTCAACACTCCTTTTAAGTTGATTTATACTAGATCTAAAATTTACATATTTTCATAAATCAAATGCTCAATTCTCGACGTGTGAATAGGTACCTTTTTCTTCTATGGTCGTACTGAATATTAATTTGGGTGTTTAGTACATTCATGTTGCTAGTTTAACTGAGGTTCATAAGAATACGACTTGGCTTGAAGTTCTGGATACTCCACTATGTCCGAAACTGATGCAATTTGACCCTATAACTAACATAAGGGGGTTGAGCCTTATTATTTTATTTTATTTTTGCTTTAAGTTATTAGGGGACGTTTAGTCTTTAATTAGTGGTAGGACTTTTATTATTTTTTTTTAATTTTAATTAGATTAGGATTTTAATTTCGTTTAAAATTAGTCATTATCTTTAATTCTTATCATTATCTAGATTTAGTCGTTATCTAAAAGTTTAGAAATTCTCCAATTTTTAAATTCTCAGATTTGATATTTAAAAATCAACAAATCCAATTCTCTGTATTCATGCACGAATCAAGGAGTTTGATGTCTAATTTTTGACATTTTTAGGAATCAACAAAAACTAGAAGGTGATCATATTTCGATTTTCGTATAAAATCAATAGAATTTCGACAGCGTGTTCGTTCATATTTATTTTCAATCACTTCTGCCCGCGCTACATGAGCTATATCAAGGCGAGGTTCGTTTCTGAGATTCATGACCATCATGTCGAAAGTAATGTTAATGCACAGTTACGTCGACAAGTATACACATTGACACGGTTGGAGGAGATGACACAATTGTATCGACATATGGAGATGTTGATGCAGTGGGTTGATGGGCTACTACGGTAACATGAGGGTATGGTGGTCAAGGAGTCATCGTTGGAGGAGGACTCCGATGGTACCAATAAATTTTTTGCCGCTTTCAATCTTGTGAGGAGAATGGATGACAGTTCAAATAAGGATTACGAAGGCCCGCCAATTTTTTTTTATTGAAAACTATAAGGGTCGGAATGTCAAAGCAATGAAAAATAGGGTTATTCCGATATATAAGCCAAGAAAGGAGATGGGTGATTATGGAACTATATTCTACTATGAAACTGCTAATTCATTGGAAGATAAATTTGGTAAAATCTTATTACCAAAATGGCAGCATCTTCCTCACATGGATTAAGGTTGTTCACAAGTGATGGAACTGCTGAAAACTACTTTAGTGATCAAGGGAGCATTTTTGGTTGGAATGACAAAAATACCCGTTAAACCTGATCCCCACATTAGAATTAGCAACTAAAATTATCTAAAGAATATGATAAACAATAAAATCTTAGTTTACCAAATATATTCGAATAATTTAACTTTTAAAAATAAATTGATTAATTAAAAAAATTTAATAACTATATTATTGTCTTACTTGAATAAATGGTGGCAATAAAATGAATTATCAAAAACTATAAATGAAATAAATAAATAAACGGGTACAAAAAGGGGGCAACCTCTCCACCTTAAACAGGTAACGGGGCAGGTATGAGGCGGGGGGGCAAGAGAGCCCGCCTCATTGCCAACCCCAATTTTTGGCGAGTTGGGCAATAATGGTAATTATTGTATGACAAATAGGAGAATTAAAAGGATTGTTGGAAAAGATTAGGCTCCATATGGTAAGGGAAAAAGGATAAATCCAGATGGGGAACTAGTGCACGAATATAATGCTTCAATGGAGCTAAAACATGATCTTACAATGGAAGTCATGGAGTGTTGTGAAATGTTGGTGAAGAACAAGAAACAAGAAAATCGGCAACAAGATGATTCATCGAAAATGGAATATTTTAACACGATTATGAATCGCTGTCCTCAAAAGATATTTTCCGTTACCGGAATAAGTGCTTGAAGGCTTTCAAATGCAAATAGTTTATAGGAGTAATCAAAATGTTAATCCAAAGTTTGAATGAAGCAAACAAATTTGAAAATGAACTTTTGGAACAACATAAAGGGACTTTATTTGATCTTTGATTTATATACAAATGATGCTAATTAGATGCTTTGGATATGTTTTTAGTCATGAAAACTATTCATATATATAGTACTCCAACAATAATGCACGAAAAGATACAAAAACCAAGCCAAAAAGATATAACGCTTCACAAAACTACACCAGAATTCAAACCCTCAATGGTCAATTTGATAAAATGTGGACAATTTTTTCCAAATAATGGCTAGGCGATCATGCCTGGGTAATATTTTTGTCTTCGTTTATCCTTCTCGTTTTTATTTCGCTTGCCTTTCTCATGATTAATCACTTCCAAATCTTTCCTCATTGTTATTTGAAAAACATTCCAACATAGAGATGGTGCAGTTGGCCAAGATAATATTTTGCAGGTGAAAAATTATTATGGGCCATTACAATTATCTATTGGAAGAAAACATAGATTGATAGTTGGAGAATGGGTCTTTATTGAGAAATTGGAGCAGAATGGCTACTGATAGGCCAACCAATGTGCATGGCCCATGACGCTGTGAATTCGAGTTGTCTAGTAAGTTCTGAGCTAGGTTACTGAGATTGGTGTTAGCAACAATTCAATTTATATGGGATGCGTTTGCCAATGTCTTCCCTACAAACTTACAAGACGTCAGTTGACAACTCAACAAGATTCGAGGACAAATCTTTGTCAATCGGAGGAGAATGATGCAATCTGACCCTATAACTAAAATAAGGGTGCTGAGGCTTTTTTATCTTTTAATTATTGTTTGGCACTTTAGGGAACGTTTAGTCTATACTTGGTATTAGAATTTTATTTCATTTCATGTTAGTCATTATCTTTAATTCTTATCATTATCTAGATTTAATCGTTATCTAAGAATTTAATTGTTATCCAGATTTTATTTACTGCTTTAAATACGAGTTGTAAACCTTATGACAATGGAGTGTAATTTGAATTGTTGAGATTTCTCCAATTTCATAAATTCTCATGTTTGATATTTAAAAATCAACGAGTTAGATACATAGATTTCTAGTAATCTTAAGAATTAACATGAACTAGAAAGTAGTAGTGTTTAGAATCAATGAATTTTCGATAGCGTGTTTGTTCATATTTATTTTTCCGGTGCTTTGCTCGCGCTACATCAAAAACTTGGATTGAGAAATTTAAGGGATTGAACTTATTACACACAGGAATTATCTGGTAGCTAGCTAATCTAAAATCAACTAACTTCACTTCTTAGAATTGATGGTGGCCAGCACTCGCAGTGGGGCTGTGGTTTAATTCGATGTAAAACAAAGAACATTACCATGATTTGATATGTCACAAATACTCTTAAAAGAGAAGGATGGTATTTCTCTCTTTTTTAAATAACGGCCCCCAGTAAGAGGCTCGTATCGCATCGGAGCACATGGAAAGACTAATCTAATAAAGGCTTTTCTTTCACTTTTCACTTCCTAGGCTGGTACAAATAGGGTCACTATTCGCCTGCTACTAATAATGATGGAGAGTTAATTCGTCATTATATCAGTCGGGTAGGCCTGAATGGGGTCTGGTAAAAACTTTATGAATTCTTCTCAGAAGAAAATGAAGAACCTAATTAATCGAACTTGAACTCCTGGTGGCTGGATTGCCCCGATAGGTGTGGCGACGAAGTAGGCTTCCTAGAAGGGGGTTTACCAAGTGGGACAATGGAACAATGTACAATGTCATGATCACGAACATTAGTTATAGACAAGCAATTTCTTCTTCATGAAAACAGATAAAGTATGAGAATTTAAATAAATGAACATCTTTGAACTTTTACAAATCACCAGGAAACACAAGAATAATACCCCGAAAAATAGTCATAGAGGGGATAAAACTTTAGAGGTAAAGTGTTTGAGATTGACTCAAAATAAAAACAGTTTGAAGCTCCGTGATTATAATGAAGGTAAGGGACTTGTGTGTAATATAATGCACCAAATGCATGAACTTCTAGAAAAACTCCAACCTATCTACGGCCAATTTTCTGATGTTATATTTGTTGGAAAAATAGGCGATTTGTGTAACAAAATAGCAATCGAATAACTTATGTGATATTTATATATAATTCACATAAATTAAATACGATAGAGAGCCTAAGAAAGTTAAGAAAATCGTTATTCTAAAGTTGTGCAGGATTCCCCTCAATGCAAGTACTACGATACTACACGATTCCAATATAAATTCTTATAATTGCCTTCATATATACAGAAGAAACAAGAAGGATAAAATGTAAGCCAGACATCAATCTTTTCTGAGATAAATTCATCAAGTACACCACCATCCCCAAGGCAATTGAAGGCCACATTGACATTGACTAGATCTTCTTTGCCACTCAAAAGTCCAGCTAAGGTAAGTAACAAAGAAAAACATGATATCATTCAAGTCATCTCTGATTTGGAGAGACATGTAGCAGAGGTTCAGGAGTCATTGACTCTAGATTCCTTACAGCAGCTTAAGGGTTCTCAGACGGTCTTCATGTTCCGGATTGAGTTTGGGAGGCGAGTAACAGCCACAAAGATCCACCACTATATACTCCTGCAATATTCAGAATGTTTGGTAAGCGGTATTATATCATAGTGGACGTGATTGACAAAATTGTAACTTTTTTGTTTAATATTTGTTGAATAGCAAGCCTTGAATGCATAGCAATACCAGAACATGTTGAATCATAGGAATGGAACCAATGGTGGCCAGCATTACAGAATAATTTCTAGGGCAAACTTAGTACTAATACATGAATGTCATCCGATCTATTCAACAATGAAATTGAACTACATGAATAAAAAGATATGTTCCAGAATTAGAGTGCCAAGGTGGAAACAATCAAGAACCAAATAAGATCTTCATATGACTCAATTTAAAATAATTTACTGAAAAAACATGTTTCTAAGAAAAAAGAAGAAAAATTCTCAATAAGTTAAGATTATAGAAGTTCATATTTACCACTGCCGCACTACAATTGAAGTTCAAAACTAACTGATTGTGTAAGTTATGTCAATTAAGTTCAGTCTGAAATTCATTTATAGGCAACTCAAATCCAAGTGTAGAATCAGAAAAAGTTATCAATAATGCATGTGAGTATGAGTTACAATCTTCAGTTTGGCATGTTTTCACAAGAGAGATTATTCAGAAGAAGATAATGTAAAGATATTATACCTGTGTGAGTTCTCTCTTAGTGAGGATATGGTAGTGCCTCTGCCAGATCCTCTGAATCGCCATGGTGGTGGCAAGGAAACCATAGGCAATGCCAAGAATGGCAAAGACAACAACAAATATGATAACCAGAACAAAGCATGCTTCCACTGATGCAGGAAAACAATCCAAGAGGCCCCAGCCATAACAACAGTTCTGACAGCCAGCAAACCGTTGGTCATTGGTGTTTATGGAGCAATGCAATATGAGACCAACAAACCCGATCAGCACAAAGAAAGCAACGACTCCTGGTTTCAACATGGTAATGCCATAAATATCATTAGTATCCGCTGTTCCATTGATTAAACAGAAAGTACTACGCTATAAACCTTAGAAGCCAAAGATTCTTAATATAAATTCCAGGAGAAACATATCCTTTGCACATGTTTTTAAGTTTCCAATGCAAAATAAAGCAATGAGACACTGCCAAATCTGTATATCTAAATAATTCAATGAGGCGCGGTTTCATTTAAGAAAACAAGGCTTCACAATAATATAAGAATACATCGAACAACGAATTGAAAAGGGAAAATGTACTTTTAGTATTATAGAATGTAATAAACAAACAAGACTGGAATGCCAATACTAACAGTGATGATGACAAACAAGAAATATAAGTCCATAAATTGCCATATTTTCTAGAGTTACCATTTTATTTATTTATTTATTTTGTTTTCATGCTTGGAGAAGTAAATCGATGGAAAGATTTACCTATGCAATAGTAAAATGGAATAGGATGCTTTGACAGTATCCGGTCCCAACTGTCATTAAATGTATTCCTAAACGTTCCATCCTTGTCCATGAGGTATATAAAGCCACCCATTGCAGCAATCACCTGGGAAGAGGACGGCAAAATAATTGTCACAAATTTGCATTCCCATTTTTTTGCTTCTTTTGCAGTTACAGGTAATGAACATGCAGCAGAGAACCTATATGTGTGGAAGTTCCTAAATCTAATTGCTCCTATCAATATCCATATGCTACAAAGACGAACAGCAAAAACTCATTTAGAATAGATAATGCACTACCGAATTTTCAAATTTTAGTACAACAGGGCATGAAATTTTCATTTCCATTTCATATGAAGTTCAAGAGCCTACACAATTTTTCAGTTGAAACATTAGTTCCAGTTTAACTACCTAATCTTCTATGACAATTAGCCTCTCTAAACATTGGGCAATCATCATGAAGTTTTCCAATGCAAAAGATGGTTACACTCCTAATTAAGACTTCCTAAAGACCTTGATATCTATTCCACTATATTAAATTGAAATAGGAAGATAAGCAAATTCTTCAATAAGAGTATTAGTTGGAATATACACAGAAATACATGTACGAAAGATGGAAATAGAGGGATAGCCATAAAGTAAGCAGTACAGCCCAACTGTGTTGCATATCTAGCAGAGCCAAACCGCAAAAGACACCATTAGGTACAACCAATAAAAAATTAAGGGAAACCATCCCTTCCCATGAGAAATGAGAAGAAGATGGTATTTCAGAAGAATCTAGCATTGCCCTCTATCCAAATCTGCCCATGTTAACCACATCACTTCCCCAGTACTCAGCATATCCTCGCTACCACCAAAATCAAAAGCATCTTAAGAAACAAAAAGATAAGGAAATTGCGAGCATATAAAGTCTTCATCAGAACTCTGCAGCAACTGCAAATAAACTTAAAACGCGTTCCATTCCCTCGTGGAAACACAAAACGTTTATCAGAGGACAAAGTGTAAGGTCTACATTTCTGTAACAACTGGTCAATGTTTTAACAACTGATGACATTCATAAGCATTTTCCTTGAATGGAACCTCGGACTTCCAAATCAAAGAAGTCAGAGGAAAAGGAGAAAGTAATAGTGATTTTATCAAGAGCTATTTAAAGTATCCTACATTTTTGTATTCCATAATCAAAGTAAGATCACTACAAAAAGTTAACTCCCTAAATAAGAAACTAACTAAGAAAATAATCATAATCTAGCACAGACTAAAATTAAATAAATCCTAATTAATTTAATTCCTTTTTGCCTTGAATACACTTTTAGTAATGTATCACTTCTCTCAGCGTGAAAAGAACTCAACTTCGACAAGTTATAGTCAAGATAGGCATTCAATAGCTTGAGATCTAGTTGGTGAAACTCATCTTCATTATTCCAAGAGATTGCTAAGCAGACGGTCTTCTTAATGCACTAGAAACTTCGGAAAATCAATATATTTTGAAACAACTTGATCCTCGAGCACCTCATCAATGATGCATATTCGAGGTGACAAAGAATTAAATTAATTAGAATTTCTTTAATTTTAGTTTGTGTTAGATAATGATTATTTTCTTTTACCGCACAGAGATTTTTATCCCAGATTACGGATGAACAATAACTTGCATAATTTATCATGCGATGAACAATTGGTCAGAGGAAAAAGTAAGCTGTGATACCAAATGACGTAGAAAGCTCAAAACGAAATTCACAAATGGGAATTTATGAAAATTTTGAGAAAGAGAAGTAGTTTGTATTCGATAATCAAAGTGTGATTAAAACAAATAGCTAACTCTCTATTTACAAGGGTTTAAACAATCCTAAGCTATTTAGGAAATTAATCAGAAATCTAATCTAAATAATTAAAGAAGTACTAATTGATTTAATTCCTTTTTTGCCACAAATACAGTTTTATTGCTGAATCACATTTATCTTGGACTGAACCTGAGCCTTTCAAATCAAAGAAGTCAGAGGAAAAGGAGAAAGACTAGTGATCAGAGAAGTTAAGCAAGAAGTGGGTTGCAGGATTTTTATATAAGAGCTATTCAAAGTCCAAATCTTACATTAAGAGAAAGGGTTTAGAAGAGCAAGTTAAGTTTAGAAAAAGCACGTCTCCTCTATATTGTATGATGGCAGTGAAGTTCAAGTTTCATTAAGGAGTGGCACACACATGGTACAGTTTTGAAGCTTAAATTAAATTTTGGGTTACAAGACACCCGATCTTTTTCGGTAATAAGCGTCCTTGATTAATTTATAGCATTTTTACATGATTGTATTATGTTGGCTAGCTTGAGATCAATTACCAATTGTTTTCTCAAGCTTTTAACCATTGACTATTGTAAATAACAAGTCTGAATTGAGGTTTTTAATTTTTATTTGATTTCAATTATGAATGGTCACAGAACAGTTACTAATTTACTTCGGGCTTCTATTACTTATTGTACATGGAAAAATTCCTTGAAGCCCCTAAATACTCATTGTGATATCTTAATTGCAATAGAGTGGATAATTTTGAAGGATTGATTATTGTGTTTATCTGGAATTACCAAGAGCAGATACAGTAAACTGTATTTTCTTTCCATAACTTCTTCCCCTACTTCTTATCTTTGTTTACAATTATTTTTAGACCATCTGCACTATACTCAGATCCATTTACCTCATTTCATCAGTATAAATCAGCCCTCACAAACCCAAATCTGCTGGAACTAAAAATCTCATTATCCAAGCACAAAACAGCCTCTTGGGACATATTACCACTCATGATTGTTCACAACCTCTGACCAGCATTGAGCAACCTTGATTCTCACCATAGAAACTTCTAATGACAAGCATTAACATATCGCATATTTTTTCCCTACCGTATGGGCGTCTTAGTATGGCAACCCACCATAAATTCAATGTTGTAAACTGTCCTACATCAAAGAACTCCTTTATTAATAAAGATATTAGACCTGGGAGAGAATTCAGAGGACATGATAGAGAAAGAAAAAAGACTGTCCAACTCCAATTAATTCCCCAGAATCAAGTCAGATAATCATTAGCAAGTTAAGAAGCACAGACACTCCTAGTGTAAGTGACATACAAGATACTGACATTGCTTGAAAACTCTAGGATACCTATCGGACAAGCTGTTGTCAAGCCCTATTTTTATTTTCAGCACGTGAAGGATACTTCCCTAAAAATTCTTCATGAAGTGTTTGACACGCCATTTAACATTTCTTATATTCTTAACAGGTCTACGTTACTAACACATGAAGACATATGGATGTCATGTGTAAGATATTGCAAGCCCCAGTTGTAATTAGATAAAAATTGGTAACTTTAAATATTAAAATATTAGGGTAAAAAAGGTCAAAATTAATGTGAGAAAAATTCTCAATCTTCATTTCAAATTTGTTATATATCCACTAAATTCATCTCTTTTTAATACTCACTAGTAATAAATACTACGACCAGAAGTATGCTAATACAACATATATCAAGTTGTTCGAAGCTGTTTAAATCATCTAGTGTAACTTCAAGAATAAAACCAAATAAGAAAAGTAAAAGTAGATGTACTCGTTTCAGTCTAGATCATTCGATCTCGGCAACGATTGCCAACTTATGATGGCATACTAAGTTGCATGGCACGAACAAAGGGACACATGATTTTTCTAGGAAACGACAATAATACGTCGATTTTAATTCTTCAAAAATAAAGAATTTATATATTATATTTTTATTTTTGTACCTTTTTAATATAAGACACTACACAATACACATGCATTGTAGAACAAAACACTTGGCCGAGGTACGTCCCTAAAGTATCCTCGAGCATTAGAAATTTAAAATATATATATATATGAAACAGAGACAAGGTATTTGGTTCGTCGAACCTATGTCATGAAGCATCCTGGAGTGTCAGTGTGTGACACGACATGATATGTGTTAGACACATATACACTTCCCAAGTAAAGTGTCCGTGCATCATAGATGGTACACATGCATGGATGAAAAGTCCATATACGCTAAAGTTGGTCAAAGGCTATTCCATGTCGATGTTCCCAGAAATTGAAAAAGGGGACATTTATGTACGAGCTTGTTTGGTTAACGTGATTTAATCTCGATGACCATGAATCTATTCTTCCATTCTTTCAAAAAGTTGTCTGGACTCTAATACTTATACCCCAATGCGCACCTAAAGTGAGGATTTCATTAAACACCTCGAAGCTTATACATTGAGTTCCATTTTTCCAGGCTTATGCTCCAAGGCTAAGCCTTAAAGCAGTAGAGAATTGCATTCATTTTTTTCCCTCCACTTACAATTGGTTTGTTTTCTTTTTCCTATCATTACACGAAGGGGAAGGGGAAGGGGAAGGGGAGGAAAAGGCACCATTGCTGGTGGAGAATGATGAAAAAGAATGAGAAAAAACTTGCAGTGATGATAAGGATGACAGGAAATTTTATACATTGATGATTCTATTCAAGATCATATTACTAGTGATGTTACGGAATACTTCTACATTATTTCTACTTCTAGTAGTAAATTACGATTTTTTTTATATGATTACTAACTTAAGAACTTACTATGTTATTAATCTATGTTATGTTCATCAGCAAGTTACTTCCGCAAAATTACTTTCCTTTGAATCTTCTAGATGGTTTGTGGTTTATTATAAGCATTTTTTATTTAAATATGCTTTTAAATAATATCATTTTTTGTTCTTGAAGTTTAAGCCTTACGATTGCCTCACAAACGTAAAATAAATCGGAACTTGATTGACCCTTATTATAATTGACTTGGCCTGGCATTTTGAGAGACATGAGCAAATATAAGTTGATCTTAGGTTTGAGCATGTTGATTTTTTATTTTTTATTAGCTTGGACAATGTTGCCCTAACTAATACCCGACACGTTTAAAGGTAAAATAATAGTTGTAATATGTTGTTCAAAGATGTCATGCTAAAGAAGTTTCCACATACATCATTGCCAAGGAGGTACACCAAACACTAGATTGAAATTATGGTAACAGTGAACCATATAAAAAAGCTAGCAAATAAAAGGTAAAATATCATCTAATTACAAGCCTTTGTCTTCAAATGTGATACCTGGTGGCTTGATGGTGTGGCATTTGTAAAACTAATCGAAAGCAAAAATGAAGATAGTCTCCTCCTCCTCATTAGGTGTGAATTAAATAAGCACCCTTTGTGTCTCATTCCAAACAGTTTCATGTAACTAAGAGCCGTCATAAATCAATGGACCCACCAACTTTTTGACTCTCTCACGAGTGTCAGAAGCATTAAAATATTTGGAAGACAGCAAAACTACAATTCACAGGACTAAAATTTAAACTCCCCATAACAAGTTCAGCCAAAAGAAGAAACAGGAAAGTGGATAATGGATATCTAAACAAGGTCAATTTATTCCAATATAATAGCGTCGTGCCATAAATATTTTCTAAGATGATAATCAGTATAAATGATCTTACAGTTTGTACAGCCACAAATACAAGAAATACATCACGAGCCACAAAAAGTCTGAATTTTATTTTGCGCCAAGAGTTGTCCTCCAAATCTGCCACTCGTAGATGAAATTGAGCTTTGCAGGTTGTGCAATGTGAAAAGGCAAATCCTTCCTATATTACGATACAGTGTAGACTAAATATTATCGATATGTAAACTAATTTAATGATGAATATTCAATAAACAGAAAAGAGATAATTTCACCTTAACAGACCGCCAGTGATCAAGGCAACAGCGATGCACAAACTGCTGAGTGCCCTTGCACATGCACGGAGATATCAATTCATCATCTATAAAGATGAGGAAAATTATTCCGGGTCAGATAGGTACCAAGACAATGGTTTGAGGCCAAAATTCTTAAAAACATTTTAAACAAAAATATCAAGACACCACAACAAGCACCAAAAGGAGAATATGATACAATAACGGAAGGAAATCAAATACACAGTAAATAGCATATCAACAAACACAAATCAAACTATGAAATACCAAACTAAGCGTACTCTCATCAAATGTACTTTTGGAATGGCATATAACTAGAAGTCGAACAACTCAGCAAGATTATGTGTTTGTTTCAATGCCAAACAGTATTTAGTAATCTGGAAATTCAATTTCTTTACATCAGTCTTCCAATCTTCTATATATATATATATATATATATATATATATATATATATATATATATATATATATATATATATATATATATATATATATATATATATATATATATATATATATATATATATATATATATATATATATATATATATATATATATATATATATATATATATATATATATATATATATATATATATATATATATATATATATATATATATATATATATATATATATATATATATAGGTTTTCATTGATTCGTAGTGAACTAAAAGTACCAGTAAGCAAAATAATGTATCCAGACCCCTAAGATTACAATTACACCATTGAAAAAGAAAGAAAACATAAAATTTTAAAGGAAGAATGTTAGTGAGTTAAAAACCTTCCAAAACAAAAACTTCGTAAAATCTTAACGGAAACCTAAAAACATAAATCAAATAGCAAAAACATCACATACCATCCTGACCATCGCACTCGAGGCAAATTCTGCAACAAGGCAAGGAAGCAGTTTCAACGTCAGGTTCATTTTCTATCTCGCAACTAGAGCTCCCAGATGATCCTGTAGTCTCCTTAAGCAGGGGATCAGAATCCCCATGACTCTCCGCACCCACTGGTGCCATTTCCATCTGCAAATTATTCATCTCAATTCAATTTCCCAAACACAGAGATAGAAGAAACTGCACTCCGGAACCCTAGATTATATCTTAATCACAAATCGGCAGATATATAGAATTTAATTCAGATTCACGGAATTCAGGATTTGTAGTATTCTTATGGAAGTGGGATATGGACAAAGCCGTGATCACGCCGTCCACTGGTGGCGGTGCGGTGGCTGCAGCTTACCGAGAAGCCGAAAAGAAAAATTCGATGTATTGGGATAAGATTTCGATGACATAGCAACAACCTAAGAATTGACTTTTATTCGAGGCTTGAATGTCACGTTGCGTTGAAATAGTCGAATCCGAGACGACGTTGAATAGTTAGACCGTTATTCATTTACAAAACGGAAATATTGTTATTTTGAATATAAACTTTATATTTTTTTTCCCCTTATTTGCCCCATGTCATATTTTCATTTTAAATTGAATCTGGCTCCCTTGCATATTGTTAGTTATAAATAGAGATTATTGTCTTGTAGTGGCAATAGATCCGTTTGAGTATAAATTTCGGAATTCATAATAATAAAAATGTATTGATTTGTACGACAATAGATTATGAGTTGACGACGAATTCAAGCTTACAAGGTGGTTGGACATAAGCCAGTTTATGGACAATGGATTATGTATGGCTTAACACTAGAGTGCTGGTAGGTGTGTTTAATGACAAATTCTAGTTTCGACAGAGAGAAGAAGTAAGGTTAGTTGAAGATAAATTCCCGCTTTACAAGGGAGACATTTAGATAAAAGGTGGCGATCTATAAAATAGTGTGTCACATTGACTTGGTATTTTAGAATCACATTCATCTTCTTTCTATATTTATTTTAGGATAATTCTATGACTATAGGAATGTTGGACAAAATACTTACAAGATTTCAAATTTGCTGACCTGGTGCACATATCCTACGTTTTTTTATTTCCTTCGATTTTCAGCCCAAAATCGGACTACCCAAATCATTTCCATTTTCCCCCCAAACCAGAAAGCAAGAAGAGAAACCTACTGCTCTTCTCGCCGCTCTTTCCGCACCTCTTCATCTCCGAATTTCTGGGCCCACGACCAGGAAATCAAGCACAGGCTCATTTATTCTAGAACATCCTTCTGCCCAAGAACGATGCGGGCAACTGAATCCGAAGGTGGAAATAGAATTTGAAGTCAGCGCCGATATCTATGCGTCTGAGCTGGGCAAAGGTATTTTGATATATACTGTTTTACGCTAATTTCTCGTTAAGCTATCTTAGGCTTCCCCAATTGATTTGGGTTTTTTTCCTTTGTATTTTGACATATATTTGAAGTATGAACATTATGGAGCCTTACTATTGATGAGGTTGAAGGTTTTGATCTCATGTTTGTCGTAAATTTCTGAGTTTGTTCATACATTGATGAATTTTCATAAATTTTGGGGCAAAAAAACTTTTCGATTCCTAATTAAATAATGGCACGGCTTGCTCAATTTTTTATTGTTCTTCAGATTATTGGAATGTTATTGAAATGGCATTTTGCTTGTAAATAGGGTAGCTCATACATGAAAACTTTAGAAATCGTATTATCTCTTAATTTCGTTTCAACAATTTCTGGGGAAAGTTTGCTAAATTTGAAATCTACCATTTTCGTTCTCTGTTTATATTGTGGAAAGATTGTTGAATTTGTAGAAGAAATTATCCTGATTTTATGGAATTTGTATTTGCAAGACAGCGGTAAATGAATGTTAGTGAAATACAATGAAACCGGTGCTTTGTTTGCAATATACTGCTGTTCATACGCTCCAATGTGAGATTTCGTAATTCAACTGGATTAATTTGGGTTTATTTGTTTCTTGAATAGTGGTTGACTAGAATGAGAGGAAGGAATTTCGGAGTTTGTCACGGCTGTAGAAGTAACGCTCACGACTTTGGACAATGTCAAACAAAACGTGGATGCCCTTCATCTAAATGCGGATTTCGGAAATGTTTTGAGGTAGAACAGAATATTGAAAACAAAGGGCAGTACTTCTTCACGTGTAGTAATGACTGGATATTTCGATTGGGTGAAAAATAAAGATTTAAGTAGGGAGTCGAGTACCGTTAATGAGGAGGTGAACCATGAGTCGAAGGAGGAATATGAAGACTTGCCAAGACTCTTCAACAGCCTAGCTCGAATTACCGAGGAACGAGACGTCGACGTAACATTGCACGTAACATTTTGCAAAGGAAAAGGAATTGTAGAATGCGATGGGAAGGGGAAGGCACCGACGTGAACGAGTGATGTCAATTTGTAATTGCTACATGCTTTGTTCGTACCATAACAACTTCTTTGTCGTAGTAGGCTTGAATGTTCAATGCTTAATTTTGTCAACGTCGTTCGAGCATTGGACATATTTCTAATATTTTGCGGATTGTTGTAATATATTAAAGGTTTGGATATATGTTTCTTGTAATGGTTTATCTTGCGACTCGTTGTAATATATTAATGGTTTGGATATATGTTTCGTATGTGTTGGTCAAATTTTCATTTCATTCACTTTTATGATTGTCTTTTTTGCTGAATTTTTCAATCTCGTATGGCATTTAGAGTAAATTAAATGGAAAAAGTAATCTGTGGAGTTCACATAGCACTCGTGCACTTACTTTTGGACTCATATTGCTATAAAAGTAATCAAAATAATATACTAACTTCAAACTAAGTTTTATTCTAAATAACTTGGGGTCAATCACGCTAATCCTTCTTCACCATTTGTTCAATGTATCTAACTTCTTATAAAAAGGGTAAAGAGGCAATACTGTAGATGCAACAGTAAAATAATCCAATTTTACCATACCTAATGTCATTTTTTTTTATTTTTACATTTTGTGAAGAATTTTGTTTATGGTGATTGGGAAATATTTTTCCACACACGCATCATGTCATCATGATTAAAAAAATAATAATAATTTTAGTATATATAAACTACAAAAAGAAAAAAAAAGCCTTTCCGCACATGAAAAAAGAAAAAGAAAAAAAAACCTATCGTATATGCTGCCTACCTACCGTATTTGCACATACTGTATTTGTAGCTTATGTTTATGAATCAATTGTAATGCATCATAATATGCTCACAAGACTCTTGAATAATGCAATAAATCTTCAAATTCAGTATTTTTTTCCTTTTAAGCATCTACAATTTTCACACTAATAAAAATACAAAAAAGACAACATTCGTGTAACGCACGTGACAAGAACTAGTCTCAAAGAAACTTGACCATTACTAAGTTTTCAATTATTTTCAATATTGCCAACCCTGTATCGATTTCTTGTCAAATTAAAGCTCAAAAATAAAATAATATGAGAGAATAACTTGTTGAAACATTCAACTTATGTGTACATTTAATTTAAAAATTCAACCTTATTTTGAATAATTCACTGGCGTAATATAAAATTCCAATGAAACAACAACAATAATAAATTAAGACTCAAACATCATTAAATTAAAATAAGTGAAAAGTCCAAAATTGGTTCTAATAAATGCTCTTACCAAGCATGTTCCTATTGTCCAAATCAAACAACCAAATGAGCATGTTGTCCACATTAGATAGCCATGATAAATCACAGTAAATAGCAGCCATTCAGATTGCCATTCATAGTAACTCTTAGAGAAGATAATCTCATGGTTTTAAATAGAAAATACAATTGCAACGTTGTCATTAAATTAGAAATCTACCATTCACAACTACATGCTTGATTAAATAGACAATCTAGAAATTCAAGAATAAAACTAAGAATTTTGGGGTGCCTTTTTTCAACATGTTCCCTGCATTTCACCTCTGAACTAGTGTAGATAAACGTTTGCATGCTTCAAATAACTGCAATAGGATCACGTGAAATGAAACAGCACCATGATGTTGATGTCCATGATCTAATATCACCCATTTCCTTCCAAAAAATGCAGCCACCAGTGCGTTCACGGTGAGTGTAAAATCTAAGGACCGATGATCCTATTCAGATTTCAAGGCTTGTTTTTGTTCGTTGGCTGAATTTTTCATCCACCCATCAGTCGAATTGTGGTTCATCCATGACACATGATTAATACAGGAAATCCAATGAAACAACAACATTGCATCCTAAGGTAAAAAGATTTATTTTTACCAGTAATATGGTTGATTATTTTTGCCTTCGACTTACCTGCTTTTGACAATTAATTTCAACCAAACCTGTGCTCGGGCTAAATCAAACCCGGATGGCCGAATCAACTGGTCAGATTTCAAGAATTATTGGTTTAGTCCGTTGGCTCAATATGTATACCTTAGGATGGTATTGGATAAGTACAATAGAGATGTGTGCAAATATACCTGACCAGCTATAATCACGACCTTGTGCCATCTTCGTCGGGCAAATGACGATGGTAGTACGGCTGCACATGACCTAGAGGACGAGATAAAAATTATTAATTGCTTAAATAAATATAACGAACTCTTTTTTTTTTTTTTTTTTATATTATTTTTAAATTAAAATAAGCTTGAGGTGCTACCAAAACTTTTCTCTATCTAATTTAAGCGAAAATATATCGAAAATACTCGATTTGAAATTATTAATTTAAAATTTAACATAACACATCGAATGCTTGAACAATATAATTTTAACTCAAATGCACAATCAATTAAAAGGGGAATGGACCACAATACCTTCGATTTGTATGAAGTGGACTCCAAGCAACCTCTCCATCGAAGTTTCCTCTGAACGCCCTTCCTTTTAGATGAATTAAGATCCAATATGCTCATGCTCACATAATTTTGTGACTCGTTACAATCAGAGGCTGAACAAATAACATGCTGCAAAATGGCTTTGCTTCCGTATGTGTTCTGCTTGTAATTTTATCCATTCCATTATAGCATGTGATCACTCTTCATCATCTGCAACGAGATCTGCTAGCTTCAAGAAAGCCTCGCACATATTGTCATATCTTAACTGTCCCGAAGTACTTCCTAACCCAACATAATTGACTTTGACCCTCGTGTGTGCTCTTTTGACATCTCTCCGCCATCTCCGTAATATATACCTATTAGGCATTTCAGTGATGCAATTGCGAACCAAAACTATGATCGCATGCCAACAAATGATTCCTCGGAACTCTAATAAGTGGCAACTACAAGTGAATTCGCAAGGATCTCTCCAAAATGAGACACAATATGTTCTGCTCTTCTGATGCTCATGAACCTCATAGTTCGTCCAAAAACATTCCTCCTTCTCAGAAATTAGATCACAGTAAACCTTCCCAGTGAACTCATTTTGTACTTCTTTGAACTTCGAAATTGTGTAAATTGATTGAAACTGTTTCTCTATTTCGAAAGTAGTTGCATATGGTACCATTTGAGAAAATGACTTGAAATCAGCCTGAAACTCTTTCTCAACCTTATTCCTCAGTGCTCTCTCATACTGTTCAACGAACTGCTTCAACAAAGTCTTTGAATGCACGTATCGATCAAAAAAATGCATTCATACTCTCACTTCGTTGTGTTGTGGACATCCCTGCCTAGAAAGTGATCTTCAAAAAACAAGAAGCCCAACGACTTCTGTTATTGTACAGGCCCAACAACCAATCATTCTCATGTAAGTCATACATATCGAGCATCACCCTCCAACCGTGCTTGAATTCTTCAACGAACTGTGATTCATATACCAGCTCGTGTATAGCATAAAATATGGCGCCCTTATGCACATGGTACCTAAAATTTTCTGGCAGCTTCTTAAAAATATGTCACAAACATCATCTATATTTTGTATTTGGAAATACAATCTCAATTGCATTTTACATTGCCCGATCTTGATCAGTCATTATTCCACTGGGGGCTTCACCATGCATGCACTCGAGCCATGTCTCGAACAACCACACAAAACTGCCTGTGTCTTCGTTCGATAATAGTCCACAACCAAGCAGAGTCGATTGTCCGTGATGATTTACGCCAACAAAAGGGACGAAGGGCATGTCATATTTATTAGTGAAATACGTAGTATCAAAAGTGACGATATCACCAAACTCTTTGTAAGATTGCCTACATTTATTATCTGCCCAAAATACATTCCTCAATTGTGACTCGTCACCTAAGTCCATACTGAAATAAAATCCTAAGCAACGTGCTTGCATCTTTGAAAAGTACCCTTGTATTGTGATCGCTTCTCCGTCACCGAGTCATAGTCGTCTCACTTGATCTATATAGTTCCGACAGTCCTTTTCCATGAATGTTATGTTCTCATATCCACCTGCTGCCACAACTATGGAGTTAAAACTCTTGTGCAAGGGGATTCCTGCCATATCATTTAATTCGAGATTTTGCTTCGCACTTGTAGTCAATTTTCGATTGCATCGATACATTAGAAGGACTTGTCCTATGATTATGCTCTAGGAACACTTTGTTAATTCTCCAAATTCTAAGACCATCTAATGATGCAGATATTCTTGCTTTACAATCCGTCTGACTGGTTGGTTGTGGCTTCAGAGAACCCCCTGTAGCATAAATTCTCCAACCTTCACGACTATATGCGAACGTCACATATCTCATAACTCCATCTTTTCCCTTTTTTGAATTTCGTTACCTCACTGGAAAATCCACCGCGTAAGCATGTCGTTTAAAGAAGTCCAACATTTCTTCTTCACTATTAAACATCATACTTACCTCAGGCTTAGTCGCAACATCTCCTTCTAATTTTTCGTTGTCCAATGTGTTCAAATTTGCGACCATGTTCTCATCATCATATTCTACAACGACATCAATATTTTCATCTTCTATAATCTCTTTTCCTGCAACAAATGCTGTGATTTTATTAGAAGTTGTAAATCACATGTAACTAAAATCACATGTTTACCGCTAACGGTAATTAACATGCTTGCGATGAGTAAAATTTAATGGCACCAAAAAATATAGCCCAGCCAATAAAAATAGCTCAGCCAAATTCGTAAAATAGCTCCCCCAATCACTGTTATGTTCACATAATCATTTCACCTCTGAGCAAAGTATATCCACAATACCAAAAATGCACTCAGCCAAATGATAATTGATCATACGACCGAGGACAAGATTTAAGTAATCTGGATCCAAGAAGAAAGTCAGACGATCAAGAACAAGATCTATGTGCCAATGTGTAGTAGGTATAGACGGCCAAAATACCACTAATAACTTTTCACCAATTGGGTCCGGATGTACAGTGACCTTGGTTTCTTCCAGATTTTGATACTATAGTAACATTTGTTGCTCGTAAACAGAATACGTAATTATTGAGTCCATAATTAATCCAATGTCCAAGTGGCCACATGCTAGCTAATACCTAACTAATTCTAAAATCCCCTTTCACTACCCCTGCAGATCATATACTCCTCTAGTGTTAAGAAAAGGGCACACAGGCAAGAAATGAAGACTCTACCTAAGAAGCAAAATGTTGTTGTCCATAATCTAATAATTGGTCGACCAATGTAAGAGCTAACACATTTAAAACAAAGAAGCAAATTACCTTTGTCCATCATCTATTTCCACCTTCGGATTCAGTTGCCTGCGTCGTTCTTGGGTAGAAGGATGTTCTGGAATAGATGAGCCTGTGCTTGATTTCCTGGTCGTGGGCCCTGAAATTCGGAGATGAAGAGGTGCAGGAAGAACGACGGGAAGAACAACAGGTTTCTCGTCTTGCATTCTGGTTTGAGGGGAAAAAGGAAAATGATTAGGGGAGAAAATGATACGGGTTCATTTTATGGTGGCAGACGAATGGTCTGGTTTTGGGTTGAAAATCGAAGGAAATAAAAAAAAAAAAAAAAAAAAAAAAAAAAAAGAGGAGGGAAATGGAAAAAAAAAAAAAAAAAAAAAAAAAGGTAGGATATGTGGGATATGTGCGCCAGGTCAGCAAATTTGAAATCCTATAAGTTTTCTGTCCAACTTTCCTGTACACATAGAATTATCCTTTGTTTGATGAGTCCCGTATATTCTTAATGCTGCTAATGAATTAATTAACCTCGAAATTTCGTGTCCATACCAACAGAGAAAAGAAATAAGGTTAGTTGAAGATGAATTCTCGCTTTACAAGGGAGACATTTAGATAAAATTTTAGATAAAAGGTGGCAATCTCGAAAATAGTGTGTCACATTGACTTGGTATTTTAGAATCACATTCATCGTTTTTCTATATTTATTCGATGAGTCCCATATATTCTTAATACTGCTAATGAATTAATTAAACTCGAAATTTTGTGCACATACCACATATTAGTTATGAATAATACAATGTAGATTTGTGTTTTATACAGAGAGGGAGAGTTATCGTATTGGACTTAACTGTTTTGTTAACAATTTAGCCTAATAAATGTACAGATGAACTGGTTGACTAATGAAAATATGGATGAAAAATTCATTCATTTGAATGAAAACCACATATTTTTCAAAAGTTGAGGACAAAGTAGCTAGAAAAAAAGGTTGGGAATGAAAATGAAAATAAAACTAAAGATTGAGAAGCTTTATTGCTATTTATCATTGTCTTATTAAAATAATTTTCTATGAGTTTTGATGCATGAAAATGGCCACGTAGGCCCGGTTCTTGAGAGGGGCCAGAAAGGTTTTTTTTTTTTGGGGTTGATTTTCTATTACACAAAATATTAGGATATGTACTTTTTATTTTATACTAATCTATCGCCCGTGCATGCACGGGCATGATTATTTTGAATGTCATATTAGCATTTTTAATGTTAATATGAGTTTAATGTCTAAAGAATAAGTGAATCAATTAGTTATAAAAATAATCATTTGAGGTAAGTTTTTTGTGATATTAATTTTGAAATTGAATTATTCAATATGGTAATGACAAAAATGAACTCTTCAGCTTTGTGCAAAGAAAAACAGTAATTTCCACAAGTAAAAAAAATTGAAATAATTTTAAATCAAACAAATTTATATTGAAAAATTTTTGAATAAAAAAAATTCTCCTTTGAAGGAGAGAAAAGAAATAATTGAAAAAATTAAACTCAATCATTAAGAGAAATTTTTTTAAAAATTAAATAGAAAACAAATTATCTATAATACGAACAAAAAAATTTTAAAAAAATAATTAGTAATTTCCACTAGTAGAAAAATTAATATAATTTTACATTGAACAAATTTATATTGACAAAACTTTTAATGGAAAAAAATTTGTCCTTTGAAGGAGAGAAAAGCAATAATTGAAAAAAATTAAGTTCAATAAGAAAAGAATTTTAAAAAATTTAAATAGAAAAAAATTATCAATAATTTAAACAAAAAATTAAAAAAATAAAATAAAATAAAATTTCCATCCAATGAAAAGAGGGACAATTTTTCTGTGGATGGAGAGTATTTTTTTCCTTATTTTTCATTTAAATTTATTTTGTTCATATTATAAATTTTTTTTTTACTTTTGGATTTAAAATTCTTTTTAACTCTTTCCTCTTTATAATAAAATTTATTTTTTTTCAATTTTAATTAAATAATATTAATATATTTTTTGTTTCATTTTTGTAACTTTAATTTGTTTATTTTTTTAATTACATAATATATTTTTAAGTTTATTTTGTTCATATTAAAAATTTGTTTTTCTTTTTAATTCTTTTCTCTTTATAGGTTGGACACATTTTTTCTCCTAAAAGGAACCACAAATGGGTGATGCAAGCGTCTTTGAACTACTCAACAAATTAACAATCTTTTTTACAAATGCAAATAATAACATAATTGTAAACACTACTAATTGGATAAAAAAGACTCCAAATATATTCAAAGCAAAACTCTTGTAAGTCTCATTAAATATAAAAAACAATGATCGAAAAATTTAAGTTTTTCAAGTAGATAAGGGTAAAAAAGAAAGAGCTAGTTAACTTTTACACACTCGGCAAAAAAAAGAAAAACATATATTACATTAAACAAAGTCGAAGAAAATAAGAAATAAATCCATGAGAAAGCAAACATCCAAAAATAAAAAATAAAAATTTCATAGCCATATTCAAGAAAAAAATAAAACTCCAATTAGATTTTCATGTATATACAGAGACGAGAACATACCTCACATCTAGGTAGAGGAAGATGAACCAAGCTAAATTTTCATCTATACACAGAAATAAAAATTGCATACCTTAAATAAATCTTTAAAAACTACAAAAAAAAAAAAAATTGCAAGAACATACCTAAAGATAATCATCACAAATTCTACGATTTTCTTCCCTACGATTGAGATGATGACTGCGCAATTTTTTCCCACAGAGAGAAACAACAATTTGGAGAGTTTTTTTTTTTTTTAATTTTTTTTGCATACATGAAAGCTAGACATTTGGACAGAAAACGATTGAATTGAAGGAGGGAGAATGAATGACTTGAAAGAGTGATAAATGGTAGATTACTTTATATTTTTTTATAATATAATAAAAAATCAAACCACTTTGTCCAAACCCATTTCAAATCAGTTGAATGTGAAAATGCACGTGACAGAAATGAATAGTTCAGCTTTGTGTCAAAAAAAAAAAATCAGTAATTTTACTTTCACCAATAGAAAAAAATTGAAAAAATTTTAAATATAAAAAAAATTAATATTGAAAAAATTTTAAATAGAAAGATTATAATGATTTTTTATTAATATTTAATTTGAAAAAATTAAATATATCAAAATATTTACTTAAAAATGTTGAAGTTAATATATTTTTTTTTATCTATAAGTAGTTTTTACAACTATAGATTTTTCATTACTATTAAATAATTTGAAGTCATTTTAAAAAAAAAAAAAAAAGTTGAACCCCAACCTTAAGGGCCCCACCGACTCTGCCCTGGACCATCGTGGAGGAGGTAAATCGCAGGATGTGCCTCCCAGGAGTCAGGGTGAAGAGCATATGGATAGGCCAAAGCTGTTAACCCATATGGTAACTCCCGCTTGCAACAAAGTCAATTCCACCTAGCGGGGAATCGAACTCTACACACTGCCGCGCTGAGCCCTATCCGCCCTCCCCTTTGCCACTGGGAGATATGCCCTGGGGCGCGAAGTGATTTTTTTACTTATAAGTTACATTATCTAGAATATAAAAAGTTACTTATAAGTAAAAAATCACTTCAAGTTATTTAGAATGCAATAAAAAAATTATAATTGTAAAAGCTACTTGTGGATAAAAAAAAATATTGACTTCAACATTTTTAAGTAAATATTTCGATACATTTAATTTTTTCAAATTAAATATTAATAAAAATAATTACTATAAATAATTTTTTTTTTAAATTTAGAAACTCCATGCATGAAGTGTGATTAAATATTAATAAAAAGATTACATTATTTAGAATGTAAAAAGTTATTTCTAAATAAAAAAAATCATTTATAGTTACTTAAAAGTAATAAAAAACTTATATATTTGTAAAAGTCACTTATAGATAAAAAAAAAAAATATTAATTTTAACATTTTAAAGTAAATATTTATTTATATTTAATTTTTTTAAATTAAATATTTATTAATAAAAAATTTACTATAAATAAGGGGAGAAAAAAATCTCCACTACATGCACAGAGTGTTATCATTCGTGCGTTCTTTCCTTTTGAAAGGAGAGACTATCTCTCAGTAGATGGAGAAATTTTCTTCATCCACGGAGAGTTTTTTTTTTTTTTTAGGGATAATTTTGTTGATATTATATTTCGATATAAAATTCTTTTCAATTCTTTTATGGTAATTTAATTTTTTCAATTTTAATTAATTAAATAATTTTTTATTTTTTATGGAGGAATAATTTTGTTGATATTATATTTTGATATCAAATTCTTTTTTATTCTTTTATGCTAAAATTTAATTGTTTCAATTTTAATTAATTAAATAATATATATATGTTATTTATTTAATTTTTGTAACTTTATTTAATTTTATCTATTTAATTTAGTTTAATAAAATAATCTTTATACATTCTTTATGGTAGAAATACATTCGTTAAATTTGAATTAAATAATATTTATTTTTTTAAAATCAGTTTAATTTAATTTAAAAACTTTATAATAAATTTGTTCTACTTTCATCTGCAATTTCTTTTTTAAATAATTTTTATATTTAATTTCGTTTCTTTATTATATAATATATAGTACTGACTTTAATAAAGTGTAGTAGTGTGTGAAATGGAGAAATCAGTGAAACAGCGTATGAAAATAGTGAGATGATGTGTGATCAGAATGTTACAGTGTGATTGAATAGAATAATTTACTGTTACCAAACCAATTTCATGTGAAAACGTATGTGACAAAAATGAACAACAAACCTCACATTATCTCTTTTAAGATAAGGAGGGATATAGCCCCTGTTTGAAAATTATTATTTCAAAACTCTTTTTTCAATATACTTATTTTTAATCACATTGACATAACAAAATATTCTAAATGTAAATTCAAAATTTTTCCTTATTTTTCAACTACATATTATATTAAAAATCACTATTCAAAACATTATATTTTACAAATAACGATTGTCAAATTCGGGCATACATAAAAAGTTATTTATATTCACAGCCAAATACGGGTTACTTTTTAAAAATTTAGCTTTCAAAAATTTTAATTTTATGACATACATATTAAAATATAAGTAAATTTTCTAAATTTAGCAAAACATGCAAAGTGTTGCTAGTCGATTAGGAGGCTTCTATATATAAGTCATAATTCTTGAGGCGTTATAATTAAAAAAAAAAAAAAGAAAAAAAAGAAGAAGGTTGAATCCAAATTTTGAGGGTCCCCACCGTTTCGCCTCTAAAGTTTTGTGAGAGGTAAATCGCGAGATGTACCCTAACAAGTCAAGAAACAAGAGCTGTCTGTACACTGCGCCTACAAGGAGTCCAATTCCATGTTTCAGTCTTGAGACGTTATATATATATCTACTAATATATCCACAAAATAGATGCGAGCTCTGTATGGGGTCCTGACCATCTATCTTTATCCATAATAAAAATAAACTATTATCTGTTCATTTCGTCCATGTTTAGTAGAGATTAAAATTCAAATTTGCCCCCCAGGGCATATCCCAACTGTCAAAGATAAAGGTGCTTCAAGGCTGGCAGATCAGAGGTCGTGAGTTTGATTTCTGGAAGGCTCTTGGAAGACAGATATTCTCCTGGAAGGCAGGAGCTCTACTGGAAGGCAATGTGCAAAGATGTGAAACGACTTGCTTGGCACTTTGACAGATCAGTTGGGGGCTCTTGAGCACTGGTCAATTTGGGGCACAACCTGCGGTTTAACCGATCTGCAGCTTAAGGGGCCAAGGTGTAAATTCCAGGATTTAGTCACTGTAAGGTGGATATCTGGATATCAAAAAAAGAATAAATAAATAAAATTCGAATTTTAATTTAAGTTAAAATCAAAAATTAATTTTAATAACATATTTTATAGGACTATAATTTTTCAACTACAACTTCATCAACTTTTATCAAAATTTACTAAAAAATCTAATTTTAATCCTCACCAAATAGACTAATTCTATTTATTATTACAAAGAGCTTGCTCTCATTATCCTCATTAATTTCCTTCTTGTTTTATATTCGACTTTAAACATATTTGATTACCTAATTCAATTTATGCACACCCACATAAAAATAAAACGAGTTTAACAAAAAAAAAACGTTACAACAAAATACAAATTCGCCAATCTAAGCATAATGCCATAGGTTAGTTACACCGAGGGTCACTGAACTTTAATCCGAGTTGCAATAGGGTCACTGAACTCCAATTTGAAACAATCAAGCTGCTAAATTTTAATTCGAACACACTCAACCCACTTGGTTAGATCCTAATAACTTGCTTACTAGAACTTGTTGATGACAGAGGTCGTTTGGTACGCATTAAAATCTAATTTTAATCTAGGTCGAAGTTAAACAATCAATATTAACCACATTTTTCATAGGTCCCATAACTTTTCAACTATTCATTTCAAAAATTTCTATCATAATCTACTAAAAAATTTAATTTTAATCCCCACCAAATACCCTAATGCCAACATGTACATCCTAGGCAGATTATTATAATAACACTGGAAGTCATCAAGCTTTCACTTAAGTTGCATTTAAGTAATGGAAATTTCACACTAGTTGCAATGTTGATAACTATGATAGAATTTCTTAAATCTTTACCATATAAACATTTTTAGCCTTTGTTAATGTATATGCTACCAATGAAAAATATTGGATTTCAAAACTCAAAAAAAATAAGTTTTCAAATTTAATTGAAGGTAAAATAATGCGTTTATTTTTATTTTTTATTTGAGAGAGAGAGAGAGAGAGAGAGAGAGAGAGAGATCAAATAATCAAATATCACAAGGAAACTCCAACATGGATGTCAAATTGAAATATAAATCAAGCAAAACAAGGAAAATTCAACACAATTTTCTTCATAAAACCAAAATTCAGAAAAATTTGATGCAGTAAACAAGAATCATAAAATGATTTGAGAATATACGAGAATTCACTTTCAAACGACTATTCCCTAAATACACACATCGTGTTATTTCACAATTGAATCAACGGAAGTACAAGCCATCCATTCATTTTTCAAATTGAAAATCTTAAAAGAAGTTTATGGGATCATATGGGTGCTTGTCCCCAAATACAGACTTCTAGATACAATTATACAAACAAAGCTAGATACAAAATCTCATAATACCATAATCATTTTTGATACAGGCGATAATAAACAAAATCATCTTTAGCATGAAATTAAAGATGGACAATGTGCATCCTTGAAAGTAGCAAAGCACTGTTAACTTTTAAAGAAGCCGCCATAGTTGCTTTATAGCACGCACCCTTCCCTAATTGTTCCTGCCTATATGTGCATTTACTTTATCAAAAGGTTGAACCCCAACCTTAAGGGCCCCCACCGACCCTACCCTGGACCATCGTGGAGGAGGTAAATCACAGGATGTGCCTCCCACGAGTCAGGGTGGAGAGCACATTGATAGGCCAAGGCTGTTAACCCATATGGTAACTCCCGCTTGCAACAAAATCAATTCCACCTTGCGGGGAATCGAACTCTGCACACTGTTGCGCTGAGCCCTATCCGCCCTCCGCTTGCAACAAAGTCAATTACTTTATCAAATACATGTCTCATGGAGTATGTTTTTATAATAATTATCATGATATCAAGTGTTAATTTCACAAATGGTCATTGAAGTTTCTAGGAAATCTCAAATTGATCATTCAAGTTTTTTTTTTTTTGACTCATTTATTTGGTTAAAATTAATTAACTATATCATTGGTTAAAGTTTAGTGACTCAGTTGCATTTAAGTGAAAGTTTATTGACTCGACTGCAACTAAGGTGAAACTTCGGTGCTCTAAATTGAAGTTCAATGACCAATTGCAACTAGGACAGAAACTTAGGGACCTCCAGTGTAACTAATTCATATCTCCATGTACTCTATAACTATCTAATGAATTCATGAGCCTGAATTCTATTCAAATGTCATGTCCGTTCTACTCATTATTTAAGTAATCGTTCCATAATGTTATAAATTTGCACAAGTCATACCATACACATGTAATAATTAGGATAATAGTTGCAAAATCCCACAACGTTTACACGTAAAAATTAGGGTAATTGGCACAATATTCCATAACGTTTACATGTTTTGTGTGATATCCTTCTAACATTTTGTTTTGGCGTAAATCCTCCTAAATAATCCAAATGTGTGGAATACAATATTTTCGTCCCTTTTCTCTATAAATCCTTGTGAAATGACAACTTTACCCTCCTCTTCAAAAAAAAAAAAAAGAATTAATTACAGTAATAATCCCAAATCTTTCAAAAAGTGCAACCTTGCCAAAATTTATAAAATAATAAATTATAATTAGAAGAAAAAGAGCCTAACTTTCACTTTATGCAATAGCATTAATTGTGGGCCTCAATTTTAGGTGTCTTACTAGAGTATGATTTTACTGGGTTCGTTAGGTCCAAAGACCAATGTTGCTTGTTTGAACTTGGTAGATATTACTCTTGATTGATAGTCATTATTGTGTAAAAATAATATTTTCAATAATGATTTTTTGAAGAATGTATGATTAAAAAATGAGAAGAATTTTTTAATTTACGTACAAAATATTTTATTCCGTTAATATATTATTGAAAATAAGTATGAGAAATAAATTATTTTATTTTAAAGAGAGTTAAATGGAGGCATAATTTTTGAATGCATTTACACGACCAGGCGCGGAGCCAGCACCCGGCGAGGGAGCGCGGCCGAGCGTGCTGGCTCCGTCGAAATCTTCAGATCCATCAGGTAGTGCCAGTTGCAGATGTGCGGAGTCCGATTGTCGCTGGAAAAGGATGAAGACGAAGAGAAGAGGGCCAATTTTTTTTATTTTTTGTTTGGGCAGGGTTCAAATGTTGGGCCTCTTATAGTTAGCCCAATTGTTAAATGAAAATAACCCAATTTATCAAAGTTCAATTACCCAATAAAATTGAATCAAATGCCCAAATAACTCCCATTTCTCCCAAATCGTGGAACGGTGGAAGGCTGGAAGAAAACCCTTTTCCAATTTATTCAATTCTTCCTTCCCCGCTCGCCCCTACCAGCATGACGCTGCACACAAGTGACGAGACACGACGGTGTCGTAGACCGCCGGTTTCGTCCCTGCCCTGTAGGCTGCAGTGTGAGACACTTCTTCCTTCGCCGACGTCGGTTCGCTTGATTTCTAATTGTTTGTCTAACTTGACTTTTGACTTCATTATGAAAATCTTACATCTTTTTGAGTTTTGGAGTAAAGATAGATATATTGTTGTGTTATCTGTTGATATACTAATTAATTATACAATAAGCCATAAAATATTGTATTATTAATAAATAGGGTGGATTAAAATTTAAAAGTACAAAATTTAATTAAAAATAAGATTACTGCAATTTGAGTTATCTTCATAATTTACTTCTGTTAATTATTATATTCCTCAAATATTGGATTGAGGGTGAGGGATATAATTACATAATTGAACAGAGCCAATATATTATGTGAGTGCTTACATTTTTTAAATGAAAATTTTCACTGGGTATGAATCGTATGATTGCCTGTTTGTATGTACTAAGTGCTAACTGCTAAATTGACAAATTTAATTTTATTGTATTGTAATTTGTAGGTGCTAACTGCTCAACACCATGTTTAACAGTTTAAGGGTATCAATTTGGCGTGAAATGAGAACAAAATCGTAGAATTCTTTGTCCACTTGGTGAGCAAGTTCTCTGGTTCACTGGTTGGAGACTTGGAGCCCATATTAATGCTAAGGGATTCCTTCCTCAAGTCAGTGATTTAAGTTGATTAGTTGATGTTAAATATGTTGAGATTTATTCATTTGGGAATTAAAAATTTGCAAATTGTGATTTATGAATTATGATAAGTAATTTACGTTTTATGAGTTATGATTATTGATTTGAGAATTTATGTTTACGAAATTATATTTGCATTCGTGATCTATGATAAGTAATTTATATTTTGATGAGGAATGATTATTGATTTGGAAATTTATGCCTACGAATTTATGTTGTGAATTGTGATTTATGATAAGTAATATTTTGTGAGTTATGATTATTGATTTGAGAATTTACGTTTAGGAAATTAGTCAAAGTGATAAAATTTAATTGACAAGATGTTGGCTGCTCAATTCAACCCATGTGTACTTGATTTTTTTTTTAATCAATTGTAATTGATCGTAATATTGGACTATTACGATCGTCGACGGTCAACGGTCGTCAATCAACGATCAAAAGTCAATCTGCCCTGGCTAGACTTGGATCTTAGATTCGCCACTGTACACGACCTGCAATTATTGAGGACTTTTGCGGTATAATTAGTTGAAAGACCTATGGTCTTGAGACTTGTGAAAATTTTGAGATGTTTTCTTCATCTTTGTCAAGCATATCTATCTTCCTGTATGTATTTTCTTTTTTACCCACTCCAAGTTCTCCAATACTAGCAGGCTCTACCCTTAGATCGACTTTGAAATTTTGGGGGCCTCAAACAAATTTTAAAAATTACGGGCCCTATATATATGTGTGTTTAGAAATATATAAAATAATGTAAAATAATAATTTTTATTAAATAAAAATATTTCAAAGTTACAATAATAATAATCTAAAGCACTTTCAAATGTTAAGATTAAATTTATTTTTCTAGAATTTTGATAGAAAATCAATAATTATACTATTGCAATCAACCTATTTTAGAACATTTTTCAGTACACACAATGATCATTTCTACAATTTTTTTTTTTTTTTTTACATTGTTAACCAAAAGTAGGATTTTATCAACATCGTTTTTTTTTAACCAAAAGTAGGATTTTATCAACATCGACGTTGAGAATGTTCTCTTGACAAATGCAAATGTAACTGATAAATCAGTAATATTTTATATGCAATCCACATATTTGGAAAACAACCATCATTTTTATATTGTCTAAAACTTCAATTACCTTTTTGGTGTATTCTGGCAAATGGTTTCTAATAATTTGCATCTCATAAAAAAAAAAACCTTGTGCTTTTCGATATCAAACTCATTGTCATGGTTAAAATTTTCAAACTTATTACATCAACACTCAAAACAATTATTATATACAGTTTGCAATTTTTTTAATTGAACGTTTTCATATTTTTAAAATTGTTCAAACATTAAACTAGGTGGAGAAAGAGCTTAATCAACTATAAATAATAAATGCTAAAAGATTTTTAAGCATAATATTTTATATCCATCATTAACATTTTAATCAAAGTGTTGCTTTTTATGAATCATACATGAATTGTAGGTTCAACTTCCACTCGAGCAATACTGTCTTTAGGAGTACTCTTGCAAGATTCAAATTCAGCCCTTATTTGAGCCCCATTTTTTCAATCAAAATACATTCTTTATTAGTGATTTGACTTCATTTTAATCACATATTTTTAATAATAATATTACATGCAAATTCAAAAAAAAATCTTATTTTTTAACCACACATTTTTATCATAACACTATTTCAAAATACATTTTTTAAAAATAATGGGGCTCCTCAATTTCTCTATATGTTTCTAAAAATGAAATAAATTCTTACAAGTTACTACTAATAGTAGCATCAATAGACATTTCCTCGTTTTGGCACATTTTTCTTACTCTAGTATAATCATGCCAAACAAGAACTCAAAATTTATAATGTCATATGGTAAATTGTTTAGCATCTCTAAATATCTTAGTGTCATCACGTATTTCCACTAAGTGCTTTAATGCACTTTTCTTTTCTCTAACGACTAAAATCTTATTTCTTTAACACTTTCAACTTAGTGTTTTTAAGGTTTTTTTTGATAGTGGCTTAAATATAAATCTTTCACATTATCCAAAAATAAATAAATTTCATTGCTCTGCGGAAGATGAAAACAATATATATGCATTGTATAATTTTAAAAAATATTTAACTTTTATACAGAAATTTGCTACAAAGTGTAAGAATGTAAAACTTCTTTTGAGAAATCTTCCTTATTATTTATAATTATAACATGATGATATATGTTATAAATAATGGACGACAATAGTCAATCAAGTGAAGGCAACTTCCATTATGTCAGATAAACTTATGCTATGATAGAGCAACTGTCGTTATGCTAGTTTGACTGTCGCTATGGTAGAGCGACTACCACTATGCTACCATGACCGTTACTATAGTAGAGGGACTATCGCAATGCTACCCTAATTGTCACCATGGTAGAACCACTATCGCTATGCTACATTGATTACCACTATGATAGACTAACTATCGTTATGCTAGTTCGACTGCCACTATGGTAGAGCGACTACCGCTATACTATCATGAATTTTGTTATACTAGACGACTTGCATTATGCTAGACAACTCTCTCTATGATAGATCGATCATCACGACTCTCGACTATTTGAACATCTTTTTTAGTTGATTGATAACTGCTTGACGATTATCATTGATCCAACCAATCATCTGGTGGGTGGAAATCGTATCAATAAAGTCGTGGACAAAAATTGTCTAGTGGATGGACATACTACACTAGATACATGGACAATAATCATCTAGCAGTTACCTGACATCAAACACTTATAAATATTCCAGAGGTGTGCTAGGTATAGAGGTCTAGTCTCCTCTCAACAAATTTTTCCCTATTTCCATAAGTCATTTGATTCAAAACCTCATTACTAATTCTCACGTCGAAGGTACAATGGAATAGAAGGCCCCAACCTTTTTTTGCGGTGTTCAATTGCTCATCGAAACAACAGAATCCTCCTTGCTCTGCTAAGAAAGTCCAAAAGTCATTTCAATATTATTTCATAACATATATTAAGCTCTTGTTTGAGCTACATTATTTTTCTTATAATATATTTTTTAATAGTGTATTGATAGAAAATGTGTGGTTCAAAAATAAAGAAAAATTTTGGATTTGCGTGTAATATTATTTTATTGAAGAATGTGTGGATGAAATGATATCAAATCACTATTTAAAAATGTATTTTTTTTATTTTTACAAATGTGGTTCAAACATGACCTAAATTTTTTTGGGACCCTCACCAAAGCGGGGGGTCTTAGGCGACTATCCCGCCTATAGTAAAGCCAGCACTGCCATAGACATAATTTAAGGGTCGAAATTTGTAAAATCTTGAGTTGTTCATTTCCTTTTTTTTTTCCTAAATAATTTCGCCTCTAAGCACAAAGGAAATCAATTAATTGTAAATCAATTCCTCAATAATTTATATCAAACAAGCGACATCAAGCGTACAATCAGATGGTACAAAGCAAGCTTTTCTTGGTTATGCTATTTTTACTCCTCTCTCTCTCTATATGGCAATGGAGTTTAACAAATAGTTAATTATTCTATCCCTAAACTTAGCCATTAATTAACCTAAACTGATTAACAAAGACGATCAGAATTTAAGAGTAATTTCACTTCCATTGCTCTCTTCACCTTCCTCCTTTAGCAACGATCTTTTCCTCTCTCCATTTTCCACAACACTATCAGCTTTCCAGCTGCTACTCTCAGACTTCCCATCTTCCATGCTTTCAGACCGATCACCGGTTCCGCCCGGGACGTCCGACCCGGGGGAGTTATGCGTCTGTGCCTGTGACAGTGGTGGCTTATACACATGGAGCTGGTGGTGGATGGGTGGCTGTTGCGGCGTTAGTGCAGAGTAGAACTCTTGGGTCCCTGGTTGTGTCGCACAGTAAGTTGCTGATACATGATTAGAAGGGTGTGCGCCATAAATGGCAGCCGGTGCGCCGCCGGCATGGACAGCGGCGGCTGCTGCATAATCTTGTGGAACCCATATGCCTCCTAGGAAAACCACTTGGGGACCTGCTGTGGCTACTGCTTGTGGGCTGGGACTTGGTCTTCTAGTGTGTAGTCTGTATTTCTGAGTACAAAGAACAGACAACATAATAAACAAAGTGCATAGTTTTACCAGTTCTTTTTTGTACTTATGTGCTGTAATAAGAATTTGGAAATAGGACAAAAGATGGCACATAATTTTGGTACTATGAATGTGTGTACGTTTGTGTGTGAGAGAGAAAGGTTTAGAGAGACGTGCCTGCAAATGGCTTTTTACTTCATCATTGGTCAAACCATCAACCTTCATGAGTTCTCTGATTTGTTTTGGCGTGGCCACTGCAATTATTGTTATCCATAAATGATTGGACTTCTATGACATATAAAGCTGATCAATCATTGTACTAAGATAGAGAGATCCTACCAGCAAGAATATATTATATGTCTTACACCCTGAATATGTTGTAGTTCTTTAATGACTGAATTAAAGTTGTTTTTGTATCTCGTCAAGTTTAACATATGTAAATCAAGTGATAAAGTAGAGTGTACATGTAACATCACTCTTCGAGTAAACATCCCTAAACGGTGAGTTATTATGAGGAGTGTAGTTAGATTTCATCTTGAAGGGAAATACTTTGTATGCTGGAAAATTTGAGAAGATTTTGTATAGGGGATACTTGGCAATTTTTCATTGAGCGTTGGCCTAAAAAAAATCGTCCAACCATACACGTGTTGTCAGTGTAGCACCTGTATATCTGTTTGCACTGGACCCGCAGTACTAACAGATTAATCCCATCTTGGGACAGCGTAAGTTAATTCGCTTTTGTACCTTCAGCGGGAGATTAGGTCAATTACCTTGGGAACCACCTAGCATCTGAAGAGCGTTCACGAAACGCCTGTGCAAATCCGGAGACCAGCATCTCCTTGCCTTGCGGTGATTTTGTGCGGCAGTGGAGTGGTTGATTCCGGCGGTTTGTGAATCTTTAACTTGCCCTTTCTCGGCTGATGAATCACTACACTTACCAGAATTTTCTCTCCTAGCTTCTGAATTCGTTTTATTTTCTTCCATCTCTTTGTGCGATGAAGCAAGAGCTAAATCTGCAAAATTTGTTAAACTTGGGCTCGGACATGAATTTCTAGAATCTTTTAAAAATGGATGAAAAGCTCCACCATTTCTCTGCCTGTCATCCAAACCAATCTTGGGGCTAACTCCAAAACCCATATCACTTTCTTTCGGAGACGATTGTTGGTTTGTACTTTCTTCATTTGATTGACTCCATAATTGTACAGAAGTCATCCAGTTCGTTTTATCAGACATATTTGTAGCCTTTTCAATTCCTTCAGAACTTGTGTTTTTAAGTGGAATAAATTCTTCCAGAACTGGTCTTTGCCCAGCATTAGCTCTATAGGATTGAAGCTGTTGCCTTGATGCCTCCATAGCTGGTCAAAAGTTTCTTATCATTAACTCAAAAGCTACAAATGGGTATTCTAGTTGGTCTTTTTTTCTGTGCTTTATTTAAAGTTTAAGATTATCATATTTTCTCATCTACAATAAAAGTTGTGCCCAAAAAAAGATATTTCTCACATGATTAAGAACAAACCCTATTCCAAAAGCCATGAATATCCATTTCAAGAAACTACTTGTAGAATATATAGAATATACATGTGCAGATGTAAGAAAATGAACTCAAGCAAGAAAATGTGAATAGTATCAAAATGGATTCAAACTTTTTAGACAAGATGGTTAACAGAAGGGAAAAAAACACCGTACCATTGGTGAGGAGTTGGATGCAAAGGGGAAGCTCACGTTTGAACGCATCAATCTTGAGTCTTTCTTCTTCAAGACGAGCTAGAAATTCCTCAAGTTTTTTGGTATCAGAATCAGCAATCTGCTCTCCAAATGATTTAAGAAGCATGGAATGGCTGTAGGGTTTGCATTCAAGGCTCAGTTCAGACGATGAAGTCATCATTTCTTCTCTCTATATATGAATTCAATAATCTGTGTGAATATAAATGTCGATCAACTTATAGTGATGATGATGATAAAATAAGGAACCCAAAAAAGGTGGGCAATAAAGGGTGGTATTGGCGGATTCCTTCCTGTGTTTGAAACCTAAATGGTGGGAGAGAAAGGGAAGCGATGTTGTTTGTGAAGACAAGGAGGATCAAGAGGGCCTGGGGGTACCTTTCTTTTTTAGGGTTGGGTTCGAGGAGAATAAAGTGGAGTTTGGGAGAGAGAAAGTAAGAAAAGAAAAAGGGTTAAAGATAAATAAAGAGAAGGGATGGTAACTTCTTGCAAAGAAAGAGCAAAGGCAAAAGGCCATATTTATCTGTGAAGAGGTGGGAGTGTGGGGGTGGGTGCCGAAAGAATCAGTTGGTCTCTGACACCTGAGGGGTCACGAGGCTCAGCCTGACCTTTGTAAGTTTCTGGGGAAATTTAGGATAGTTTTTGTAGTATCCCAAGCAAATACATTATGGGAAAATTAGAGCAAAAGTCATGTATTCTTAACCTTCAAAAGTGATAATTCGATTTTCAACTTTTTTAAATTTATAAAATTTGAATCTTGATGATGAAAACTGTTGGTATATACACTGAAATTGCTTAGAAATTTCATGCGACCTAAAGCAAGAATAATACGTATGGTTTTCAGAAGTTCTGAAACCCATAATCTTACATTTGGAGGTCTAGTATGACCAGGGCCGGTCCTGTGTTTGTCGGGGCTCGAGGCAAAATTCAAAAATTAGGCCCCCCAAAATTAACGTAAATGCAAAATTCAACGATATATTGTGCAACATATTGCCAACTTAAAACTTAACATTAGAACAACAAACAAATATCTCAATTATCTCACAATTAATGAAAAAACTATTTTCCTTTTCCTTCTTCTAATATTTTAAAACAAAAACAAAAAAACAAAAAGCTTTTTGGCCAAAATAGGCCCCATATGGTCTTGGGCCTGAGGCGTAGGCCTCATTTGCCTGGCCACAGGACCGGCTCTGAGTATGACCCATAAGCACACCATGAGAGCATTATTCTAGTTTTCCATAATTTTGTATTAATAAATACACAATTTATATACTTATAGATAAGTAAAAAGTAACATATTTGAGCTTATCTAGAAACAAATTTTGCTTAAATAGTAAGTTAGACTTATTTTTAAGCTTATGCAAACATGGATATATATATAGATTCTTCTTTCTTTCCCTAGACTACTTTTTCTTTTCCTTTTTTACTCTTTACATTTGTTCCCACTTCCATTCATAAACACATAAAGTTAGAGCTAAATCAAGCTTTTAATAAAACTCATTTTTGCATAAAATTAATTTGTGTAATCCAAATGAAATTAGGATAGTATTTTTACTCATTAATTTCTTATAATTGGGTATAATTTCTCATTATAACTTTGTTCTTAGTTTCTAATATTTATTCCAACATTCAATGTATGCAATTTAGATTGGATTATTTACCTTTTAGTAAGGAGTAATAAAGATTGAATAATGGCAGAGAATTTAGCATAATTATGCGGCTAGTGGTACTTGAACTAGTAGTGGTCCTTGAGGAAGGGTTCTAAATGTATCAATGATTCTTTCTAATCAATTCTATACACAAAAGATGATGGGTTTATTGGGCATATTCATATGCTATTTTTACCATTTCTTATTAAAGAAAATAATTTATTGAACATTTTTTTTAAAAAAAAGAAACTTAAATTGTTAACATATTATACAAATATGTCAAGTTTATGTCTTCAAGAAAGCTAATACGTGTACAATTTTTCTTGATAGATAGCGTCAAGACAAAATTTGAGACATATTTTTAATATTTTAAATAAAAGGAAGGATGAAATATTCAAATGGAGTAGACTATCAAATGCAATTTAGCCACTTTCTTTTAGGGTTCAAAAGTTGCATAATTAAAGAGAATTAAGAGAGGAAAAGCGAATATTTGAGACATTCATTAGAAAGAATAAAATATTTGGTTAGTAAGGAAGGAATATCTGTGTTCCAATTCTACGATTCTAAATTAAGAGCACAAAAACCCACGAAGATTACCCATAGAAAAAGAATAATAAAGAGATGGAATCTTCCTCTGCTACCTACTTTAATGAAGTGGATTGGAAGGTAACAAGATTCTCATCACTATGATTTTACTTGGGTTTCTCCAATCCCCCACCCCACCCCCCTATGGATAGAAATATTCACAATTAGCTAAAGAGTAATGTTATTTGTAATCACTTACAATCGTCGTCGTCCTATATGACATGTATGTGGCTATTAGTGATTTGATACATTAATGTGGTAAATTTTTATTATCTTATGCATCAAATCACTAACCGTCACGTGTATGCTATGTAGGACGATTGCGGTAGTAAGCGACTGCAAATACCATTATTCTTAGCGAATATGTACAAAATGAACAAATTCATACAATATTAGACAAAAATGAACAATATTATGCTAATATCGATTCTGTCAATCCTCAAAATGTACAAGAATCTTCAAATTCTGTATTTTCAAAAATTAAGGTATGTACATTTGAATTCGACCCAACCGATACCCCTTCATTCCCCACGGATACAATATTAGCTAGTACTGGATAATATTGTTTACGTAAAATTCAAAGAACTTTCTTCATCCTTATGCAAATTAAGAAACAACGACCCTTAATCTAAAGTGTATATTGACATACGTCAAGACAAAGAGTGAAGATATATAGTATGAAGAACCTACGAAATTTATGATTAAACGTTTAAAAGTCGATACAAACTAATAGCATTTTAAATGCATGCAAGTTATTATTTAAGTTTCTTGGACAAAATTAAACCCGGAAACTCATTTACAATCCTAAAATTTCATTACTATACTTTATAAATATTTTCGGCCATTTTATAACAAATCAAAGTATCAAAAATAACACGTACAAAATTACTTCGAAGCATTAAAGATTAAAGTGATATCTTTTCCCATTCAATATCTTAGGTTACAAATATGTACTACGTAGATACACTATAAAACTGCACAATAAAGTTTAAATTTTTGTACACCTTTATATGTTTTAGTATAACAATAACACAACTTGAAGGGAGATTTTCTTAAATACCACTAAATATGACAAGCATACAACTCAAACAAAAAAAAAATAAAAAAAATAGAGAGTTACATCGAGCTTAACAGTTGAATTTTGAACGATATTTAGAGGGCTAACACTAGTGATAAAGGAAAAAAATTTGATGATATGCAACGGCAGAGTCGAGGGGAAAAAATTCTACTAGGCTCGTACATAGAAAAAAATCCCTAATATCGTGGGGATACGACTTGTTTGAAGATTATCGTTCCTTGTGTACAAAGTTACAAACTCAAAGTTGAGATAAATATGTTCTTTAATATAGAAAAATAGTTTTACAACTTGCAAATATGAAAGAGATGCAAGAAGAATCCACAACTCTTTTATTTATCATAAACACAGCCGGAATGACTTTTGTTACACCTTTGGAGTTCAAATTTCATCTTTAACTTTTCATAAAAGAGAATCAAATTCTAAACCGATATATCAATTAAAATATAAATATAACCAAAAAAATAAGACATAACTTCACTCGATGACTATAGTTCACTCAAAAATTAAGATTAAAAATCGAAGAGTACCCGATAATTCTATGAGAATCCATTAAATCTTGTAAATTTTCAAACATGGTCGGAATGATTTTTATTAATATTTTGTAGTTCAAATTAATAGTTTATAATAATCAATATGCATATAATATTATATGTATACATATATAAACATGTATATACATACCCGTGACCATAATTCAATTTAAATGTATTGAATTTACCAATGAAAGAAATTAAAACAAAAATCCTAATACCTTTACCAAAGATGCAGATGCAGGAGAGGCACAAAATAAGCTTTTGGAAATGGAGAGGAAGTATAGCTAATTTTCAAGGACGTTTATAAATAGAAAAAGATTAATATTTTTTAATCTCATAACGTTTAATGTGGCATAAAATCTGTTAATTAACTAATTCGACATCTAGTATTTCCCTACTAACTTATTTTGCCATAAACTTAATTTATTAGATTACTAGATTTCCATTAGTAAATACCTAGTTATTGTTTTCAATTTACACCAAAAATGTGCTTTTACAAAACAGAACTTCCAACTCTATTTTAGGTTCAAATCGGAAGCAAGACTAACACCATAAGTACATAAAATAGATCATAATCATGCTACAGAACTCGGGATAAAATCCCGGGTTCTGCGTCAAGGCCGAGGTGGCAATCAACTCGGCCCTTGATCATTTTCATGTGGGGGCCCACATACATCCAGGAGCCGAGATTTGGCCACCTCGACCCTGGATCGGAAATCTGGACTCTGTAGCTTTATTCTTATAATATTTTGGATGTATCCATAAGAGAGAAAGAGAAAGATAGAATCTCATTCTTCTGTACAGTGCAATAATGATGGTTGGTCGCTTTCTATAATCAGTCTTCTCGTACAAGACTCCAACCCATAACTTTTCTGCAGATTCTTTCTTTTCCTCTCTCTTTACTTTTTCTCATTCTTTTCTTTTCTTTTCTACTAATTACTTTTTTCTTATTCAAATTTTACATTATTATAATTATAATTTTATACCTTTTATAAATTGGGGAAAATTAAAAGTTGGGGTCCTCAACCTATTGGAAACGCGGCAAGTAGTTCCCCTAGCTAATTACTTTGCCAAGTCCGTACACATTTCCCTATAAGACTGTTTCGTTATCGATCTTTCCACTTGAATTTTGACACATTACTATAATTTTGTTGGGGTCAAAAACTTACTAAACGCCACTACAAGGTGTTACATTTAAAATTTTGACACTTTGAATCGTAATAATGTGTCAAAATTTTATTGAAGGGATAGTTATGGGGTAACAGAGTTAGACTCCATTTTGGCAATTGCAGATTTGAGGTCCAAATTTTTAATTCTGTCATTAAAGTCTCAGATGAATACTGTTGTACTTATATATGATTAATAACTCAGATTTTTAACAAAAAGTTTATTTTATCCCTAAATTTAATTTTTTCAAAATAAAAAATATATATATGGGGGTTAATTGGGGACCTAAATATTTTTCTTTTTATTATTTATTTAGTTGCTATCAGTGAGTGAAATATTAAAAAAATGAAAGATTGGGGATGGAGGTTGTCAAAATATTAGGTTGAGGATCACTTTGTTACAGTTTCAATAGGTTTTGTACCCAGTCGTAATTTTCCTACTTAATAAATAGTATATTTAAACCATATAGAA